AGGCCCATGGATTGGACTCGGTAAACTAAGGATTTTGTAAGCAAAATTGAAGCAAATTGTAAATAAAGATAATAATAATAATAATGATAATAATAATAATAATATAACTTTATTTAATGAGGGTGGCATACATTACTGGTAGCCCAGTAGTTTACATCATGGCCCTCCTACAATCAAATTAAAATATAGAAAAAATTCTTAGGCTCAGAGCTGGAGAAATTGTTATAAAATGTTATCCAAACGACGATGGAATGTTCCCCGAAAAAGAATCGGATTTCGTTAGGTGATTGTTCTGCATGGAAACAGAAACGTGGCAGAAATTTTAAAGCTGATTAAACTTATAGCGATGCGTGAACTCCGCCAAGCTGCAAGGAGAGCATTGAGTTTTAATGTTTAGGAGACATCTATCTTAGCCACCACAATAGCACAAAGAAAAACAAATTCGTTATTAAACGAAAAAGGAATATTGTGATGGATGAATGAATGGACGAATGGATGGATGGATGGATGGATGGATGGATGGATGGATGGATGGATGGATGGATGGATGGATGGATGGATGGATAGATGATTGTCACCTTACATGGGAGAAACACATTGTCAATATATGTTCAATTGTAAAAAGCAGGCTGTCAATATTACGAAAGGATCAAAACATCTCCCCCTCCCCACACGACCGCTGCGTTTTTGAACTGAACCTACCTAAGGTTTCAACAGTCGTGTTATTAGCCAGAAGTTATGAATTGTCATTAAACAGCCAAGTAGTGTTCCCTACGATTATAACAAATTTAGCTAAATTTAGATCCAGGAGTCTATAGTAATTCTATTCAACAACAATGATCCAATGACACAGTTAGCTATACTAATGTACATACAGTTTCAATGCATCTCATAGTAGTCCTAAAGTATACCGTGWTTGGGCAAATAAGGGATTTTTATTAAGAGTTGTAATCTGCAGACTCGGCCTAATAATAGTATGCATCATGTAGTAATGGCATTATTAGTATTATCAAAGACATCGACATCTAAGTTTTTGTTGAACATTGTACGGTTAAAGGAAACTATACAACAGAAGACCAGTAGAAGATATTCCAATGTAAGACCAAAGAGGATTACACCTGCAAATATATAAGAGTACGTGTTAAAATCATTACTAAGTTATAGTCACACAGACACATAGTGCCTTTGTCTTATAGTGAAATCATATTATAGCCTATATTCTTTTGCTAGTCGTATTGCATCTATCTGTTGGATGCTTGATCTTACCTTATTATTGTGACCAGTCAATTTTACAAAGTTCTACTAAAGCTTATGAGAGGATATCAAGCTATGTACTGACTTACCTTCCCTGGTGGAGACCTGACGCAGGATTAGCGCCATTGTCAAGACTCTTCTCACGTAGGTCAATCAATTAAAAACTAGTTTTGGAACTATTCTTAGCAAATAATATTCACAACAAATTGAATATAAAAAATTGCAATGCCCTTCTTCCCCACGAATATTTCTCTCTGTTTTTTCACTGTAATATATACAGCGTTTTAAGAAATATCCGATATACCTTCAATTCTCGCAATATTTGTAGGGACCTAGGACTTCATTTTCATGTTCTACATTGCCGCACAAATAGAGTCTTTCTATGTACTGGATGCATATTGCCTTTATGTGATAACAGTTATGCTTTATTATATACCAGGCTATAGGTACATAGGAAATATTTGTAGGGACCTAGAACTTCATGTTCTAGAGTGCCGCACAAACAT